TACTCATAAAAATAAGCTGCTGGAGCAAACTGAGTTAAATTGAAAAAAAAATTTTATTAAAAATGAAAACATAGAAATTAAGAAACAAAAGACAAACATAACTTTTCAAATCTTCCATATCAGCAGAATGCTTCAAAAGCCAAAAGAATGGATGCCAATCAATAGGGCTGTAAGAATTTAAACGAACCCTGCTTAGGGGTTTATCAGAAGGGGGGGACTCGTGAAGGACGAAAAGTAAAGAACATAAAAACAATTAAACAGCCTGCGCTTTCTGGGAGTTATTTAATTGGTGAAACTGGTGACTACTATGCTTTTAAGAGAATCATCCAAGATGGCAATGTATTTCTAGTACTACCTTTTTAAAAAAAAAAAAAAAAATTGGAAGAATGTTTCAAGAAAAAGAAGCAAGGTGTTAAAAATGTTGAAAATCTTCACATAATCAAGCTATAGAAATGTCTTAAGAATCAAAATAGGTTTAGTAATAATAGGATAGCATGCCAGTAATTCCATAAATTCTAGCCGAATTCAAAAAGAAAAAGAGATATTTTTAATTACTATTCACACTAAATTACTCTTCGAGGTCATCCATAAGTTACCTTCTTTTCAAGTTTGGGTAAAATATATCGTTTCACTGTAAACAAGTAATTCGAAAGATAAAGTTAATGTTAGCTTTTTCTAAGGTGTATGAAACTGTTTTGGAATTTGATTTTCTATGAGGATTTTAATAAGGTTTATATTTCTTCTTGAAGATAATCTGTTTCATTGCAAACTTTTTTAATTCTAAGAATGTTAATAGTATTAATTATAAATCTTATTATGAATTATTATGAATCAAAATTGTTTGAAACTTTAAACTTCCCGGCATGGTTCCGCTACGTAGACGATACTTTTACCCTGTTTGAAGGTAATAAAGATGATTTAAATAGAGTTCTTTCAACAATGAATTCTATTGATCCTGCTATTCAGTTCACTTTTGAACTTGAGACTTGCAATTCTCTTCCGTTTCTCGACATTCTGGTCACACGTAACACATCCAACTTCAGTACTACAGTTTACCGTAAACCTTCATCGGTTTGCCTTCCACCACACTTTAAATCATGTCATCCGACTAAACAAAAGTTAGCTTCGTTTATTCCTATGTTTTCCGTGCTCTTCAAGTTTGCTCCTCCAAACTGGCCCTTGATGAAGAACTAAATTATTTAAAAGCAATAGCTATTGACAGGGGCTTTTCACCCAACATTATTAATCAAGCAGTTTAAAAAATTCTCATCTCAACACACACAAAAGCCACACTCTTATTTTAGGAGATTATAAAAAAAATTCTGTTGTCATTCCCTTCTTTCCATCAATTAGCTATAAAGTTGCACATATTTTGCAGAAATTTAACTTTCGGGTTGTTTACTCTCCCATCAATAAAATTCCAACTTCTATACTCAAGGACCCCATTCCGGATATGAATTCCTGGGGTATTTATAGGATTCCTTGCCAGTGCGGTTTAATTTACATTGGCCAAACTAAGAGAGCCTTAAAATTTCGTGTCAAAGAACATGAAGCATATGTTAGAAAAAAGGAAACACAGAAGTCTTCTGTTGCTCAACATTGTTGGTCCGAAAATCACACTTTCAATTTTTCTGCTGGCCAAAATTATTCAAAAAACATCTTCCATTGGAGAACTGGATTTTCTAGAGGCATTTCACATTCATAAAAATCTTTCTGTTCTAGTTAACGAGATCCTAATTCCAATCCAAATTTGCCTTCGGCTTTTAGAGAAATTATGTTTTAGTTCTGGTTTCGCCAACAGATGGCGCCACTTGCTTATTCTTGTCCAGGCTTTCTTATCTTATCTAAACATTATTTCCTATCTTGTTCATTTGCGGTTTTGCAGCTGAAGATGATGGTTCGGTAAAACCATCGAAACTAGTCCTGTGAAAATTTTGCAAATTAACGCTGATTTTTGTTGTTTGACTTCTGAATTAATTATAAATCTCTTGGAGATGTTGGAATTCCAGTTGATGAGTTTAATGGTACGAAAATTGAAATCTCAAGAAAACCAAAGAAGAATAGAAAATCTTAGGTAGATTTTCTATTCTTCTTTGGAGACTATTATAAGAATTTGCATAAACAAATCAGACAGAGTGAGAAGATTATCAAAAATATCCTCTAGCGGTAAAGTAGTATAGACATTTTTGAAATCATAGCAGTTAATATTCTTAATATCTAGAGTTTGGGGTCCTTCTATAATCAGCTTGTTGTTATTAATAATCCAACTGAATTTATGGTTCTTGAAAATTAAAATTATTGATAATGTTAAAAATTTGTTTTAGCTTTTTAGCAAAAAAAGAACTGTCAATTCTTTCAAAACATTTTTTGTACCATTGACTACGAATCTGAACTTGACCGGTGTTTTGTGAAATTTTGGAAGTGCATAAAGATTTGGAAATTTATTATAGTTGTTGTTGTGCGATATTTTAAGTCTTTGATGCCAAGCTTTGAACCTCATTTGGAGATTTATTGATTGTTTTGACTTGTTGATAAGTAGTAGTACTAAGGAGTTCTTGCTTTATTAAATTAGTAGAATGTCTTTCATAAAATACTGAAGTTGTTGTTTGCTTTGTCTATTTTTGTAATAATGAATTTTTCATGTAACTGTTATAAGTTCTAGCATTTTATTGTGACTGTACTTGGTGGAAATGAAAATTCTCCAAATAAAATCTTTAACCCATTAACCGCCAAAACTTCAAGGAATGTTTCTTTTCTCATGAAAATAGTAACAAATATTAAATTAAGCATTTATAACATAAATTTAGATTGAAAATTTTAAAAAAATGCTCTTACCTGTGGAAAAAGTGAGTGTTTGCGTTCACGCAACGTCAGTGAGTAGGATTATACTCGTGTAATTTTTTTTTTTGTGTGTGAAGCGCAGGATAACCTTTTAGCTGTTTAATGTTTTATAAATCTACAAATCACTTTACTTGTAATTAATTTAATATTAAAATATACATTGTATTTCTTTTACAAATAGAGATTATTTCAATTGAAAGATTCAAGCATAAAAAGCTTGATTACAATGATGATGTAAAGCTACATTACATACTTTGCATCTATAAACAGTCTGGCTATGGTACTCTTTACAACAAAGTCTTTTGTTATCAACGGACTTTACGATAAAATGTCTACCATCTCCATGCAATGGTTTTTGAATGCTGAATTTACTAGGTTCTGTTGCTAATCTATTTCTGGCTAATTCTACACTCTCAATAGGAGTTTTCAAAAGGAATAATGCATTCTCGCGTCTGAAATGTAAAAGAGACTTTATATTTCCAGTAGTAAAAAGTGGTGTTAAAGTTTAGATACGGTCTCGCCTCATATAATTTATCAGTATTGTCAATTTGACTATTGTCAAATGCAAGCTCTGCTTCATATTCCTGTACTGCAAACGTGATATCGATTCTCGTACAACAGGAACAGAAATATCCTTATCAAAAGACCAATACAATTTTTCTTGAGGTAAAGAATGATATCCTGTAAGCAATAATATTCCAATAAATCTTCTCATATAGGCTTCAGATGCAATAAATTCTGGGCTTTTTTTTTTTTTTTTTTTTTTTTCCTGAGTGTATATATTTGTCTGTTCAACGAGAAGAGAGTAATGTCTAGATCGAAAAGAAAATCGAAAATCTTTGCACTAGTTTTACCTTGTATTTTGCCTTTTATAATTTCTCTTCTCTCTCTTCCTTCGTGTTCTTCTTGAGACATAACTAACAGTTCCTTTTCTATCCACTTCAAGATTCCAGTCTTCTGCTTTTTAAACTTTTTAGTATGACTGTAACTGCTTTTAGAAGGCTGAAACTTACTTCTTACATGAATTTCAACTTCCCCAGCAGTATCATTTGGTAAAATATCATTATCATTATTTAAAATGTTGCCATTCCTTTCTTCTTAGTCACTAGTTTCTGCAATTTCTGGAGAACAACAATATCAATTTCATTCTGGTCATTCTTAACATTATCATCATCTGTTTCTTCATCAAAAAATCTTTGAAGAGCTTCTTCTAATGTAAGATACCTCATTTTAGGCATTTTTAAACAACCAGAACATGAATCAGAACATCGAAAGGAATGAGTGAAAAAGGAGCTTGACTACCCGTTTCCTGCTGACGTTGCGTCAGCGCAACACCTGTTTTCCCTTCCTTCCGAACACATATATAAACATCTTACTGATGTAATGTTCTGATAAATGGTGACCTTGACTAAAAATAGATCACTCATAAAGACGACGGACAATTCTTTCGTTAAATATTTTCAGCAAAAATACCCGGTCGAAAATTTTGCTTGAAGTATGAGATTAATTATTATAAACAAAATGATTGTTGAAGGCAAATATTTTTTTTACAGAAATAATCTTCATAATATTCCCTACACAAAATTATCTGCTAGTATAAAATATCTTAGGTAGTTGTATTTATATACGCATTTATTTTGACCGTTGCATCAACGCAACACCAGCGGCTAATGGGTTAAGTAAAGCATCTTTCTACTCAAGAAAAGTAGTAGTGGGTAAATTTGTCTGATAGCCTGCATTGATGATGAAAGTGTTCTAATTGTTATTGAATTGTTGAATGCAAAATTTTTTGCTGATATGGAAAGTGGGATGAAACTTGGTACTTATCTCTTTAAAATTCATCAAATTTCTTGTAATGCTGTGCTGGTGAAAAGGATCCACATAATTACTGTATTGTGGTAGTTTGCACCGATTCTGATAACAGAAGAGTACCTTTTATTTTATATTATAAAACAGTTTTGTAACATGAAGAAGAAAAAGTATATTTAATTATTTTAATTTGTGTATTTAACTGTTCATTGCTTTGTGGCAAAATAATTTTGTAACTAATTTAAGTATTTTAATTTGCATCATACAATATGAAATTTGACAGAACTTGTGATTGAAATGATTTGATTATCCTAATTTATTTATTTTTTATCATTATTACATTTTCATAGGAAAGATAAAGAAGTTGCAGTTGTCTATTATCGTACTGGATACATTCCAGAGCATTATGAACCTGAGGTTTGTTTGCTTTTTAAGGTTTAGAATTTCTTTTATAATGCTTGTTTCCTGCTACCTCTCAAAGATGTACATTCACCTTTCTTGAGGATTATTAAACCAATTAAAACTATAGGGTGCTTGTTTTTAAAGATTAAAATATTCTATGCATAATTTTACATTTAGAAGTTTTCAGGTTTATAATTTTAATGTTTCGGTGTATATTCAAGAAATCAGGAGGGAAATATTCCAGAATTTAAATAGTGAAAATACTTTTTTGTTCTTTCTCTGTTGATTTAAAGGATCAAAATTAAAATTAGAACATTTTTTAAATATCCATTTAGGTCGTTTACAGTACCTTAAATTGTGTCTCCAACACCACCCAGCAGATAATGTATAAACAAAGATAAGAATTTTCCTTCTGAAAATTAACTATATAGTTCTGATAAAATCAAAGCATTGCTTTAGAACTACGTGGGACATATAATTCAATAGTTATGAGACATTTACTTTGAATTTATGCTCATTTATTAATAAGTAAATAAAGTTTTAAAATAGCAATGAAAATTTTAAATATTTTGTTTCTTAGTATATAATTTTGCATTTTTGAAAAAGACAAAAGTGATTATGTGTGTGTGTATGCCTGAAAAGAGAGAGATTTCATATATGTATATATATAGTAGGACTCTTATATCTATGTCGTATTATGTTCCCAGGTATACTGCAGATAACAGTGAATTTTATGAATAATATGATATTTGTGTAGCATACATGCTTCTCTGTATACATTCTGAATTATTGAATTTTTACATTTTCTATTTCTTTACTTGGTATATGTACATGGTGTTTGAATACAACATATACAAACTTCTGAGATAAGTAGGTTGCTCAGTAGAAAATGTCATCTCAGGAAACTATCATTCATATAATGTTTAATCTGTTGTTTGGTACCAAACTTTCACAGTGTCACATGATACAACATTAGTACTTAAAGCTATACACACGATTTGGTGACATTCTGTACCTGACTTTTTGCAACTGAACTGGAAGTAAATGATAGTTCTAATCTGGCAGTGTGATAGTTCTGTTTCAGACACCTTGTACTTAATGATAATGATTTTTCTTTTACAAATTTCACAGCACGGTGTTCTAAAGTGTTCTCTTTCTTTCAAATGCCAAAAATTGTTTGACAAAATATGATTATGCATGCCAATGCAAACTGTTTGTACAGTCAATATTTGCGGTGGAAGGAAACTTTCATTAAAACCCGATATTTTACAGCTCATTTGTGTTAGGTGTAATGATGAATAATGTGTGTGCCTTTTGTGCATTTTGTTAAATGTACCTATTGTTATTAATAAATCACATTTTTACTTACATACTACTCTTTTCATTTCTCATGTTCTCTGCACACTAGTATGCAACAGTAGTCCTTCTGACCCTGCATAGCTATATGATTTCAGTTTATCTTCCCAGAAGTTTGTACTTGCTGTACTGAAACATCCTGTGTGTGTTATGTTAATTATCTTTCACTGCTTTCTTTAGTTTACATCTATTTTGATTTACAAATGCTCTTTAATTTGGATGTAAGAAAAATTATTGTTTTATGATGTTAAAAATATTGTGCGATTTCAGAACTGAAATTTAGCTTTCTTCTTTTAAAGGACTGGGAAGTTAGGCTTTTGATGGAGCGTTCTGCTGCTATTAAATGCCCCTCAGTTGGATTACATTTAGCAGGTACAAAAAAAGTTCAACTTTACTTGACTAAGCCTGGAGTGCTTGAAAACTTTGTTAGCCATGACATTGCGGAAAAGTTGCGTGAAGTATTTGTTCATCAGTATGCACTTGATATGGTAAGTTGCAGGTTAACATTTCTAAAGATTTTTTCTTTTGTCAATTTTTTTTTTAATTTTGCTTTGCATAAAATGAATGTTTTTGCACTTATTTTGAGAAATATTAATAAATATAATGTACAGTGTTTAATTTATTGAATACCAGTTTTTGTTAAAATATTGTGAAATATGTGATATTTTATGCAGAAAGTCATTATTATAATTTTATTTGTAAAATTTCTCATTCTAGGGACCAGATGGCGATAAAATAATTTCTATGGGTATACAGAATCCTGATAAATATGTAATGAAACCAGAAAGAGAAGGTGGAGGTAATTAACTTACTCATTTATTTCTCTATGTAATCAGTAGTAAATTTGATTATACTGAAGATTTTATCATATAACCAGTATTCTACTGTGCATTCAAATGAAGTTTATACATATGAAAAATATTAAGTATGGTGATTTGCCTTTATGTTGCTTACAATCGAAAAAAAGAGTAATTTCTTCTGCATTATACATTCAAGCATAATCTGTGTTGTTTGTGAGTGTGTGTTCAATTTTCTGTCAATTAGATTGAATTCAGTATTTAAGGAAATAAAGCATGTAGCTTCCTTTTTTTGAGCATTCTATGTAACAGAAACAATTTTCTTTGTTATTATTTTGGATGTGAATGAATAAATGCTCACTTTTATGTTTAGTTCTTAGTACTGTATTTTAGATTAATTTGTTGAAAATGCTGCATATAAATTTTCATTAACTAAAATGTGTTAATTTACAGTTATAATTAAAGTGTATTTATTCAAGTAAAATTCGTTCTGGTTTATGTATCTTGGAGAAAAGAAAACTGTGATTAAAAAATAATATATAATAGTTAAAATTTTGACTACCACATGAAAAGGTAGAGCATAAACAAGAAACCCAAACTGGAAAATTTTTATGTAATCATAACATTTGTTCAATGTGCATTCCACTTGCATCAGTCACATGTTTAAAGTACACTGCTCGACATTGAAAATGCCAGACCGAGAAGGAGTTGCTCAAAAATTATGCAAATTTCAAGGTAGATACACGTCACCAAGTTATGCAAATGATGTGAAATGCGCAGCTGTCCATCGCATGTTGAAAATATAAGGGAAGGAACCCGCAGAATGTTAAATTTTTGTGCCGTTATTTCTGTTTGGGAAAACATTGTAGAAAATTTGTTCTTGTTTCAGAGGATGTGTGTAATAGCAGAAAATGCCAGGCCGTCATCAACAGAGTCATTAGCAGAGGCAGATCCAGCAGGCAGAAGATCTTACGAGGAGCATGGTGATTGGACTGAGAAGGGCAGATTGGTCTATACGGCAAATCTCAGCTGACACACACCTGGATGCATCCACAGTGCACCGGCTGTGGCGACGATGGTTGGAACAAAGAAATGTTACAAGGCCGAGGGGTGCCGGTGCAACCAGAGTGCCGAGAGCATACGTGGATCGATGTGTTCACCGCAAGCAGTATTAACCTACAAGCCACTTCTACCTCCATTCTGCACCCTCGATGTTCCATATTGAACAGAACCATTTGCCATCATTTGCTGGCTAGTGACCTGTACTTGTGGCATCTGTGAAGAAAGACTGTCATTGACCCCACACCATAGATGCCAATGTCTGCAATGGTTCCAGGCTCGAGGGATGTAGATGACGGAATGGCACAGGATCGTGTTCTCAACTGAGTCTTCTGTTCCTCCAGAGATAGTTGCCACATACGAGTGTGGTGTTGATGTGGAGACGTGTTTAATCCAGCAGCAGATGATGTGCTGCAACCGGTGACACTCCCCTACCTTCAGGAACTTCCTAGTGCCCTTTATCAGCATAATAACACCTGACCACACACTGCTCACATCAGCCAATGTGCTCTGCAACGTGTACAGTTGCTTCCCTGGCCACCATTCTCTCACCAATCGTACACATTTGGACACCGTTTGCAGACACTGCCATTACTCATTCAAAAGACAAACTATGGCAAATGGTTGACAGGGAATGGAGAGCCATTCCGCAGGATACCATCCATAATCTCATTGACTCTATACCTAAACGTGTTGCTTCATGTATCGCCATCAAAAGTGGTCCTGCAACCTGCTCAGCCGGCGCTTTCTCGCTCTCTATTTTTGAAAGAATGTTCGTTACTGTCCCTCTCTGTTTGCCGAGTTCAATCACTTTCTGGCCACTCCTTCTTGGTGGTGCACTTTCAGTGTCGGGTAGTGTATATCATGGCATACTTAACAGTAATGCTAAAATATTTTAGAGGAATTGCAGCAACACTATATTGATGCAAAGTTCATATGTTTCCTTCATAGACATGATCCTTCAGGAATTCTCAGAAGCAGAAATCAGAGGGATTCAAGTCCATGAATGTCTTCCATAACATAATGGCTAAAAACTCCATCAGAATAGTTGATTTTGATAAAATAAATTAAACAGGGGAGGGAATTTGCTCTGAATACTTACTCATTATTGCATAAAAGAGGCTGTGATGAATATGAAGGATAGTTATGCTGGTTCTGTATATAGCTTAATATTAAGAATGAAAAATTGTTGTGTGCTTTTTTGATAAACAGTATATCTTTCTGTAAATTTTCTATTTTAAAGATGCTGATTTTCTGAATTTTACAGGAAATAATATATATGGTGAAGATGTGAAACGTCTTTTGGAAGATATTAGATTGACTGAAAAAAGGAAAGCATATATACTGATGGAGCGCATTAAACCTCCTGGCATTCCCAACTGTATTATTCAGAGAGATAAAGTACCAGAAACAAGTAACATTGTGTGTGAGCTTGGAATTTTTGGTGTTATTTTAGGGTGAGTTCACATATTCTCAAATTAGGATATTTTAAATGCGGGAAAACGTTAATCAGTTGGATTATTAAATAGATTCAGTTGCATTTTATGATAGTTGTACAGTTTTTGTAGGATATAATTTTTTACTGCAATTTTTTGTCTATTGTAGATGATGTAGTAGAGCACAAATTAAATGCTATACTTATACAATAATTCACCTTTTATTGTGTTTATTTTAACAGCAGGATTCAGAATTAATATGAAGAATCTCGAATTGGAGATTCATGATAAATATGCATATCATTCTTTATGATAAAATTTTATATATGTATGATTGCATTTTCAGCATTAAGCTTTAAATTTTGTACTTAACTTCAGGCTGAGTAGCTAAAGCCTAAAAACACCGATAATTAGTTGTATTCCTAACTGTTGAAAAGGTGGCTGCATGAGCTTTTCATGGTTGTCCTCGCATGTAATGAATACACAGAACAGGTTCCTTAGAAAGTTCTCATATGAGACATCTCTATGTGCTTTACCATGATCAAATAATCCAGTCCAACCCTAAAATATGTCAAAAATCTGTAAAAATGTCGACGTATCTCATATTTTAAATGCTAAATGATACACAAGCAACCAAAAACAGAGACAGAAGGTCAGAACATTTCCAGTATGTAATAAAGAATGAATGTCAGTGTTTACATGGGACGGGAAATTTAAAAAATATTCTTCTCTTCCCTAAAATGGAAATTAAAACTTTTCTGGTATGCTTTCAGTTAGAGGTTTAAGTTCGGTGGGTTGAATGCAGGTGAATACAAGTCTAAATGTAAGACATATAGAACTATCTAAAAGTATAGGGCTTGATGTTATTGCATCATAAACATTCAAAGAATTGATAAATGTAAAAGAGCTTCTGCAAAAAAATTAAATACCACTAAAAAAATTCTACATAATTTGAACTGTTGGAAAGACTTTTTATTTTGAAGGATTTATATAAGCGTAAATGTACTAGCACCACATTTATTACTCCACCAAAGAAATAAAGCACATTATTATATTGATTATCCTAAATTTAGTGTTCTGTTAGGTTGTAACGAAAACAAAACTTCCAAAATTACAGCGAAAACCAAGTCCTATGCACAACATTGTCGGTGAAAATATCGTGTGAAAGTTAGATCAAGACTGTGGTCAATCCCTACTTACAAGTATCTTAGATCTTGTAGTTAGCATTTGAATCATTAGCAAAGCCATTGTGGTGATCCACGGTTTGAAAATGGTTTCTGAATCAGAAGAGATTCGTGCACTAACCTAGTGCTTCGCATTAGAGAGTAAAGAACATCTATGATATAAAAATATACTTTTATTTACACAGCGAAAACGCGCAGCAACATTATTAACGAAAGCTCATTCTCCTAATAACATACTTCTTTTTACACTCCACTTACGCATGCGCATTGGCAATTACCAAAGGAGCTTGGCAGATACTGCCATCTGTTGGATAAACTATTCGCTACATATTCCTCCCACCTGAATTTACTGGGAGGTAAATTCACACATCTGTTAAGTATAATATATGCATAATAGTACAGTATACAATATGAAGTATAAAATTATTATGCCTACCAAGATGTTCTAATTAAATTGAAATACAAATTTACCTGGAGATGCAGCATTCCATAATTTTCTAGACATATTAACAGATAATACTAAACCTAGAAAAATAAAAATAAATCAAATTATTACAAAGTATTCAAACAAGTACAAAACATTTCACAGACGTATCACTGGTTTCACAGTTCTACCACTGCTGGTAGTCATAGGAATATTTTCAGTCATATCCTTTTGGACTGGGTTATCCAGCTCAAGTCTGTACAGTCTTTGCACTGGTCTCAGAAACTCAGAAGTCTCTGTTTTTATGACAGCAAGTCTTATTTGTCCATCACGACCAGGTAGCAGCTTTATGACACGCGCCAGGTTCCAAAAAGCACGTTTTTTGTTGTTATCTTCAAGTAGAACAATTTCACCCACCTGGAGAGGTTTAGCTATAGAGTTTTTAATGGACTGCTGACGTAACTGTCCTAGATATTCCACACGGAATCTTGCTCTAAGTTGTTCTCTCACCTTTTGTAGATACTTAGCTCGTTTACTCAGTTTTTCCTTATCCACTGTATCGATATCAGGTACTCCTGATTTGGAAATCTCCCGCAGGAACATTTCTGGAGTTAATGGGGATGAATCTTCAACGTCTTCCGACACGTAGGTAAGTGGCCTAGTATTGATTACTCTCTCACAGTCGCATAGTACTGTAAGCAACTCCTCGTAATCCAGGGCAGCACGACCTAGAACTTTTCTCAGAATCTGTTTCACCATTTGAACTAAACGTTCCCACCAACCGCCCCACCAAGGTGCGGAAGGAGGAATAAATTTCCACTGAATTCTTTGCTCAGCGGCCTTTGATCGCAGACTCTCCCAATCAATTGTATGCAGAAGGCTCTCCGCTCCTTTAAAATTACTGCCATTGTCTGAGTATATTATAGATGGTCTTCCGCGACGAGAAATGAAACGTCTCAATGACTGGAAAAAAGCTTCAGTTGTCAAGGATGTTACTGACTCCAGATGAATGGCCCTATAGACCGCACATGTGTAAAGAACAATATAAGCTTTTCGACCATCTTTAAGGTAGAGGGGTCCTGCCAGATCGACACCCACTATCTCAAAAACATTTGCATCACGTACTCTATCTTTCGGCAAAATTCCTGGAGTTACATCACAACTTTTGGATTTAAATCTTTGACATTTAACACATTTTCTAATGCAGTTTCGTACTGTCTTACGAGTTTTGAGGATCCAATACTTTTCCCGCAAATGAGACATCACCATAGAAGTACCAGCATGCAGCAGCTCATTATGTGCATTCATTATTAGTAATTTTACTACTGCATGATCAGATGGCAAAATGACAGGAAACTTAAAGTCATCAGTATCGTCGCGATAAGAAATATTGGTTTTAGCTCTGATCAAACCATCACGATCAACTATAGGTCTGAGGTCTTTAATTTTATCATCGTTCACACTCTTAAATGATTCTCTTTGAACCAATAACATAAGAGTTATCTCAGCTCTTTCAATTTCCGAAACTGACAAAATTTTGGAGGTTTCGTTTGTAATTCTTCGTAATTTAAAGTAAAACCTAAGAATCCAACCTAACATGCGTACAATTTTCTTTATGGATGAAAAGTACCTGTAATACCAATTGTCAGGTTTAGAATCTTTGTTAAGAGTTGTCAATACTGATTTACGCCTTTCTGAATTTATGATCTCTTCGTCCGGCAAATCGGTGCCTCTTGACCATGACGATTCTGGTTCTAACAGCCATGATGGGCCCTCCCACCATTTCGACAGCAAAAACTGTTTAACTGAACAGCCTCTAGAAGGGAGATCGGCGGCATTCAGCTCCGAAGGGATGTAATGCCAATCTTCTATTTTTGTAAGTGTTCTGATTTCTTGGACACGATTCCAAACGAAAGTTCCCCACCGTACGTCTCGCTGGATCCAGCACAAAGCGGTTGTTGAGTCAGTCCAGAAGAATGTTCTTAAATTTGGCATGTTCAAATCTGAAAAGACCATACGTCCCAAGCGTGCTCCGATTAAGCAGGATAATAATTCCAAACGAGGAATGGATATACTCTTTAAAGGCTTAACTCTAGTGCGTGCTTGCACAAAATTTAAATAAACCTTATTTTCGGTCTTCACTCTTAAGAAAATACAGGTAGCATAGGCATGCTTGCTGGCATCGCTGAAAACATGAAGACTTACATCTTCGTTAACCGATCTGTCAATATTAAGCCATCTAGGAATTTTGACATCAGACAGCAGTTTCATTTCCTTTACCCATTGTATGGACTTCTTTTCTAAATGTTCTGGCAATTTTTGATCCCAATTTAATCGTAATTTCCAACACTCTTGCAATATCACCTTTGGGAACAGGGTAACGGGAGAAAGGAAGCCTACTGGGTCAAATAACTTATGCGCGCAAGAAAGGAGTGTTCGTTTACTCGCGACAATCTCCTCTTTCTTTAGTGACTCAATTTTACAGGAAAGAGTATCATCCTTCAAATCCCAGTTTAACCCTAAAACGCAAACGAATGTATCTAATTTAGAGTTGGGAATTATTTCGGTTTCACAATTCGACTGCCATCCTCTAAGATTAAACTTTCCCAGTGACAATAACATTCTCGATTCTAGTACAAATCTATTCAATTCTTCAACATTCTTAAAACTAGTCAGGCAATTATCAACATAGAAGGACTCCTTCAAAATGTTGGCTGTAACTGCAAACTGATCTGGGGCACGATTTAAATGATAGTTCAACGTAGCGGCTAACAAAAATGGACTACAGTTAAGCCCAAAAACCACGCGACAATGTCTGTAAATTTTAGTATTCTCTTCTTTTGCACCTTTCCAAAAGAAACGCAAATAATCTCTATCCTTCTCTCTTATACCAATCTGCAAGAAGGCTTTCTCAATGTCTGAAATTACTGCAACAGGATATTTCCGAAAACGATTCAACAATGTTGGAATTATTTCTATTAGGTTGGGACCTTTCTCAAGACAATCATTTAAGGAAAGTTCTCCTTTGGCGTGTGCCGAAGCATCAAAAACTGGCCTTACTCGCGTAGTTTCGCTAGATTCTTTAAAAACCGGCCTATGAGGCAAATAGTGCTCTCTATCTACTTCGCCTTCATTTACCTCTTCAATAATTCGTTCCTTCAACCAAGTATCAAATACTTCCTGATAAACTTTAATTTGATTCGAATCTAATAATTTCCTTCGCGTATTAGTCAGGCGTTTTTCTGCCAACGTTTTATTATTAGACAAGCGAGAGGGGGTCCAATACCCAAGGTAATGCAGTTTCATATCTCCCGTCTGAATCCAAATTCAAATTTTCCTCAAAATATTGCATGGTCTCCTCATGAATTTCAGCTTTCTTTTTAGACTCAACTGGGTCATTTATACCAATAACGTCTAACTTCCACAAGTTTTCTGCTGATCTTTCGTTTAGCAATAAAGAAACACATGCAAGAGAATCATTTATACCCGAAGATTCCTTCGCTGGAATTTTACCCATTAAAATCCATCCCAAACTTGTTTCCATCGCGACCGGACCACTTTGTAAACATTTAATATTTCCGGTGAATAATTTTCCAGCAATATCAGAACCTATCAACAATTTAATGTCACTTTCGTTTTCGAGAGCATTACCCTCCCTCTACATCTGACACTTGAATATTTAATTTACGAAGTTCTTTCAACCAAGGACCTTTAGGTATTTTCTTAACATCAGAACAGATAACAGATTCACTTAAACAATGCACACTACATACATATTTATTATCAAGGCTACTCAAATTAACTATATATTTAGAATGCAATTTTTCTTTTGTTTCTACACCTCCGAATAATTTATGAACTAATTTCACTTCACCAACACTGTTACATTTCAAAGAATCTGTAATATCTTTCGTTAAATAACTTCTCTCGCAACCCGTATCTATAATCCCTCTGACTATCCTTTCCCTGTTGCCATTTTTTACCCTTACGATTAATGTTTGTAGTAACACATCGGAGCTCGCGGATCTGCTAGCCAAAACATTGACCTCATTTTTCGCCACAGGCTCTACTTGTTTAGTCTCTTTCAATTGAGAAGGAACTTGTTGACACATTACTGCCAAATGCCTTTTCTGGCAAATTAAACACTTAACCTTGGACTTACAGTTACGAGAAATATGGTTTTTCTTCAAGCATAATAGACATAAACCCTTCTTAAATATTAAATCTTTTTTATCCTGATATGTAAGCGTACTAGCTTTAAAACATTTTTCTGTTAAGTGTGGCTTATCACAAAATAAACACGATTCCTCAACTTTCTTAATAGGAGCATTTTCTTTAAATTTGTCTCCTGTATACAAATCATTACAAGTAGGAATATTAGACTCATCATTAATGTAACTTTTAGATTTTCTACTTTTATCAAAAGAAAAACGCGCTAATTTAATTCTCTCTTCAGATATTCAAGATCGCTCTTACCTTGTTGTGACGAGCTCTCCCGTTCCCTCTCCCACACGCGTAAGATGTCGGGGCAGGCAAGATTCAACTAACGGAAAAATAACACTAGCGTATTTATCTTCAGTCACACCGAGAGATTCCAGAGCACGCAATTTTGTTTCTAAACTGTCGTACAACGATGATAGCGCAAAGTCCTTTTTGGTTGCATTATTATTTATCAACACAAGATTCAATAAATCCCGAACGTACACTTGTATAAGAATATCTTCACGTCCAAAACGATTCTTTAAATGTTCGATGACTTTCGGATAATTTTTCTTTAGTTGTCGGGAAACTCTGCACTATTTCCCGTGCTTTCGATTTGGCAGCAGTAGCCTGGATCAGATATACGAATTTCAAATGATCATCTAGCACTGGATCTTCGTGTATCTTACTAAAGGTATTCCAGAAATTCAACCATTGTCGTGGATCACCTGTAAATTCAATCAAATTTATTTTCGGAAGCTTCAAATTCGTTGCCGTTGTTCTTGAATCAACAGTTCTGGTTTCATTTACCGATGCATGAGTCAGCAAATTTTTTTTCTCTATTTTCACAGTGATTTGCTTCACTTTCATCCTGGCTGCTATTAATTTCTCCTTGTAAGTCTCACATGACTCAAATTCTTTAGTATATTCTTCTTGCGAGACTTCTTTCGATTTTGATAGGAGATCCAATATTTCTTCATCCAACTGTTGTAGTCGAATTCCTTTATCTTCCAGAATTTCCAGGGACGATAATAGAAACATCACTGTTCAATTCTGACTCATTCAAATGTCCATGTAGGCTATTATATGCTTTCGTGAAGGCTGCACGCAGTGGTATTCTTCTTACTTTCAAGGCTTCCATTTCTGCTGTTAAACCATCAAAAGTGTCCTTTACCTAACTAATGCGTCCTGTTAGACGGACGCCACTTTTTATTGTGGTGATCCACGGTTTGGAAAATGGTTTCTGAATCAGAAGAGATTCGTGCACTAACCTAGTGCTTCGCATTAGAGAGTAAAGAACATCTATGATATAAAAATATACTTTTATTTACACAGCGAAAACGCGCAGCAACATTATTAACGAAAGCTCATTCTCCTAATAACATACTTCTTTTTACACTCCACTTGCGCATGTGCATTGGCAATTACCAAAGGAGCTTGGCAGATACTGCCATCTGTTGGATAAACTATTCGCTACAGCCATATTAACATTAGTGAAATTAATTTCAAAGGAAAAACTGAATTGAAATTAAAATAATAAATTATAAATGAATTGCATTCAAATTTATACATAGTATAAAATTATCCAAAATGCGGTGTCTAAATTAATTTAAGGAAGTTCTGTAATATGAAAAGAAGTAAAAGTAAGAATTGCAATGAAAATGCTGTAAGTACCTTTTGTGCAAGAAAATGGTATATAGAAATGCACCCAAAAAGTACCCATAAATGTATAAATTCTACATAAGATATTTTATTTTTTATATTAATGTAAATATCTCTATGAATATTCATAGTCAAAAATTAATCCGAGAGTGCGTGCACTGTGTCCAGTGGACCCGCACGATTAAGCAAACCTTTCTCAAAGTACGCGTATTTTACGCAAATTGTTGTGGTCCAGTGTAGCCATATTCGAGGTTGACCTCTTTATGTTTCGGAAGTTTTTTCAGTGGGGCTTTGATTTGGAGTCTTGATTTTGATCGGATTGGGGCTTTTAGATGCAGTGTGCCTATTCTTATTACTGTTACATAGTTGATTTGTGATAGTATAGAAAATGGAAAACGTCGCGTAATTTATCTTACAAAAAAGAAATGTTGCAAAAGTTATTACATGCATCAACTGAAGAAGAATGTATTGAAGAAAATGAGGATGGAAGTGATCGTGAATTTTTAGTTCATACGATAGTGATTCTCAGAAACTGATATAGGTTTTGAAAATGAGAGTGAGAATGACATAAATTGCTTTATTGGGAAAAAATTATCAGAAAGGATTAAAAAAAGTGCAGTTTGTGCAGCAAAAAAGCACACAAAAACGGAAATGCACTGTACCGAATGTGAAAAATATTTGCATTTGGAACACACAACACTTTGATCAGAGTGCTGCTAACATTTGTTGTTGCATTTTTTCTTGGTGTCTGTTGTGCTAATAAAGAAAATAAAAAGTGGATGCAGAGTAAAAAACAGAGTTAATAAGGAAAATAAAAGAATTGACAGAGATTTTTTTTCCTATGCTAATATATAATACGATTTTCTATTCCTTTAACAAATTTTATTTCATAAAATGCATTTGGAGAAATAAAAATTTTAATGTGCATATTTTTTTTAAACAAAACGAGTCTTTTAGACCCAATGCGCACACTCGTGTAACTCATATGATCGTGTGCACTTGCAGGTTAACAAATTTTCATTTTTGTGTAATATCAATTTATTTTTATTTTTTGGTGTGCAAGTTAAATTTAATAGTTTTACTTATTTTTCCATGCAATAAAATATCAATTTTAGTGAAAATATTAAAGAATAAAGATTAGAGCAAAAGTTTTACGAGATTTAATTGCCGATATTCAAATCATGCTAATGTCTATACTTGGTTATTGGCAAGGTTGACTGTTCTAGTGTTAAACGAGTTCTTATTGCACTGTTACCTGCCATTAGAAAGATTGTTAGGTTAGTAGAATAAGGAAAAGCATATCAAGGGTATATGCTTAAGAGGAAAATGCCTTCTTGGAAAACTTTCTAGGGGAAACGTCTGTTGATCTCATTACACATGCAGCCAGCTCATTCTTACTGAGCTTGAACTTGGATCAAACTCCCAGTTTTCAACCACTTGGCCACTGGTGATGAGCAACATTGCATTATGTTCTCATCAAAATAAAGACGTGTCAAAAGAGAGAATGGATATATAAACTTGAATTTCAAGATACTGTATTGTCAGTGAAAAACAGACTATGATAAGTTACATCTTCTTTAATCTTTCATTAGAAATTAAGCTATTTTAAGAATCATCTGTATTTATCTTTTTAATATATTTTCTTGTTCTTATCTTATTTTGCATTTTCAGGAATAAAAAAGATGTATTTATTAATAATGCTGCAGGTCATCTTCTACGCAGTAAGAAAATTGATTCCAATGAAGGTGGCATTGCTGCAGGTTTTGGAGCACTGGATTCTCCATACTTAGAATAATTTTTTTTATAAATTCATTATGAACAATTTATATATTAGTACATGCATTGTTGCATGTATGGAAAGATTGTTTTTTAATTAGAATTTGCATTGTTAAACATTTCTCATATATATATTTGTTATATCTTCACTTTATAAATTTTTACTGTACTTTTTAAAATAAAAAAATATGAGATATTAAAAACTGTGTTTTATTCATTCAAACATAATTATAAGAAAATTTGTGTAAAACTATTTTATTTGATTCCTCTTTTCTTTTATAATTGTATTTATAAAAAAGATTAGTATGCCTTGATAATTCTTTTCCTAAAGCAGCTAAATGATTTAAAGCTGAACTGAAGAAATAAGTCAAGCTGAAAAATAATGAAATGTTGTTTAATCTATTAGACATAAGATTAGTATTGTATGTTGTCACCATTTCATGGATATAAGTTCTATTATAATATGACTTTCAACATCCACAGAATTGTTATATTAAAATACTAGCAGAAGTTCCTGATGCCAGTTAAGTCAGATTGAGAGTAATGCATCTAACAGAGAAAACGATACATCTGTAACAACAAAGCAAAAAATACGATTCATACCCTTACATTTTTCAGTTCAATAAGATATGAAACCCACATAAAAAATTTTGATAGAAAAATAAGCTAATTCTCTCTCATTATTTCAGCAGCAGTTTTTAACACTATTAGTCTTTCTAATCAAGTTGTCATAAAGACTCAAGTTCCATCCAATATTTTACCTATATTCAATTTTAGTCTATTAAATATGTCAAAAATTGATTAGAATTGACCAGAAATTAATAACGCAAACACACAAACAGGCATTTTTCTTTATATGTATAGATTTTGCAAAATTTATAAAATTTTTATTAACATACTCTACGATTTGAAAACGAGCAGTAGCAACTCTTTTCGAAATAAAGCATTTTTTATCTCCAATGCGTGACACTGTTGCCACTCTGAAAAATGAGTGCGAAAAATAGCGCTTTCAAAGTTTTTAACATTTCAGCTGATTAAAGTCATACGAAGATGGGAATAGCCGAAATGGCTTTCCCCAAATTTTTTTAAATCACAATGTAATTAATGTTTGGCAATGCTATTTTTATTTCGTCATAAAACTTTACAATTTTTTTTAATAACAAACTGTAGGATTTGAAAGCGAGCAGTGGCAGCAACTTTCTAAATAAAGCAAATTTTCATCTCCAGCTTGGAAACTTGCCACTCTGAAAAATGAGGGCAAAAATTATCATTTTTCAGAATTTTTAATTAATTTCTCCAATTTTTTTGGAAAAGTGGATGGCTACCTTTTCCAGGACCCAGAAGAGAATTGGAGAAAGCTTGGTGATGATAGCTATAGTAGTGACTGAGTGATTAGAAGACAAACACAAACTTTCTTCTTTATATATAGATAGATAGATAGATAACCACAACATGAAGAATTTAACTATTCCTGTATATTCAACTTACATTTGATAATTTTATATGCATTTGTACCAATAGTGTATTTTAAGCGAACAATACTAAATATTTTGAAAAGATTAGAAAACTAAATAGCAGGATTCAAAACTTAACAGAAAAAATTAAAATTTCAATTAATTTGGAAAGAATAGACAATAGCATGAGATTTTCCCAAAAATGTACAGAAAGTCCTTTTTTGAGTGGGGTTGCTTTTGGGTGCTGTTCAGTTATGTATGTACAATGGCACAGAACAGTTCATAATATAGCGAGGATTACAAATGTTCAGTGTGATGGCCACCATTCATAAGAACGTTTGTTAAATGTAGCATGAAAGTTTGCATATCAGTGAAGACAATTCAGCTGTAATTTCTGTTGCAGAAAATCTTTTAATACTTCTTTTAATAAGGCCAATAATGTCAGCTATTCTCTAAACATTTGGTTTCAAATAGCCCCATAACCAAAAGTCGCAAGGGTTAAATCTGGAAACCTCAGTGGGCCATTCATGCAGGAAAGAATGTCAGAGGACAGAGGTATTGTGACATGTCTTAAAAATTCTGAGCAACATTTGTGTGGAGGTGCTCTGTCCTGCATCAATTTTACGCTATGGAGCACTTGCTTCTCTTGAAAGAAGGCTGTTTACTTCCTCAAAGAAAAAAGGGACAATGAACAATGCAATGAATCTGCACAACATTGTTCTCTTTGATGCAAAGGTGTTTCCACAATCACATGTGGGTTCTCTCTCACTCAAGTGAAAAGTGTACCTTGTCAGTTCAGCAGGATGTTTGACAGCCAATACACAATGTTTCCCATCTGGCAAGAGGTTGGATTTGCCAATTCCCTGCTGTCTTTTGAAATGGGTCGATTTCTATTCCAGTGGATTCTGTTCCATGTTGGATTTTGAATAAAACTTGAGAATGATCCCCAATTACTATTGATGTTCACTAACCTGTTTCTTAAAAAGAGCAAAATGTTCGAGATCCACAACAATTTCTACCCCTCCCCCCCACACACACACACTTCCTTTCACTAGGTTGGAACAAAGTGATGTGAAGGTTCCAAATGATATCGTTTTTAGTTCCTGAAACAAGATCTTCTCCCCCTGAATATATACCAAGTCACTCTTAACCAAAAGGTAAGGAACAACAATAAAGATGAACTGATACAATGCATTTGTAGAACTGCACCTTTAGCTATCGTGTATTTTAGGAGGTACACAGAAGTCCATCTTATAGATGGAAGTTTTAATACTAATACTGATTAAACTTTGATTTTAATAACTTTATCATATTTTTCTTCTATTGAATTGCAATCTAACAAGCTAATAAAAACCAGTCTGTCAACCAAATAATTTTTCATTTGGGTTCTGACTCCAAATGGAAATAGGCGTTTATACAACCCAAGCAGAAATTGAAAGAATCATTCTGAATAATTTTATTTGGGTTACCTACAGCAAAAGATAATCAAACACTTCTAGAAACTGTTTTTTTATGTAGCACTGGAATTGTTAGGTGGTATTACAACAACAACCCTAAGCAGAAGCTTATCTTTAATGATGACATTATCAGACCATCTGAGCATCCAGAAAATTATGCCAGATTTACAAGTGTAAGAGAAAGTGAAGGAAAACAACTGCCCATTGAACAGAGAACAGAATTCAATAAATTTTTCAGTATTAAAATATTCAACTACGGGAAGAACCAACCCCAAAGTACAACATTACATTAACAAGAGTCATAATCCCCTTGTTGCAGTTCCATCATATTGTATGTCTCCAACAAAGAAATATTAAAGCAAGCACTAGATGAGTTGCAAGCAAATAAAAAAACTGAAGAATGTGAATTCACTTTAAATCAATACTATTAGTACCCAAACCTAATGGGCATGTGCAACTTTAAATAGATTACCAGAAACTAAGACTGATAAATCTTTCGCCCAAGATTGAAGAACTTCATGAAGCCAAACATTCCTTTTACATCAACCACTGACTTAAACCACCAAATTGAAGTAAATCCTACAGTTCATAACAAAATGGCTTTTCTTTGCCCCTTTTGGTCTGAAGAACGCCCCAACAACCTTCTAAAGAACAATTGAAAAATTTAGAATCTTTTTTAACATATTCTTGTAATTTCACACCTATATGACATCATGCTGTCCCAGTTTTTGATGACCATTTAGATAATTCAGATGCCATTTTCAAGTTAAACATGAGGAATGCAATTTCGCTTGTAATCTCATAACATGTTTAGAGCATTACACAATGAGTCAGGGACTTGAAGTCAATCCAGACAAAACAGTTGCTATTCAAGAAATGCAAACTCCAAAGAATGTAAAGCAAGTGAAATCTATCCTTCAAACTTGCTCATGGTATAGACTCTAATACAAAAGGTTTCTGAGATTGCAAGACTCTACGAGGTGCACATCTACATGTTATAGCAGTCATATATACAAAATTTCAACGTTCTGAGGCTACTCGTTTTTGAGTTATGAGAAATATCTACACACAGAAGCCACGAAAAATTCTCTTCAGAATTCATTTTAAACCAGTTTTATAATTTTTTTTGGGGGGGAAAGAATCCTTTAGTCTGTCCTTAAGTACAGATGTCATGCAAAAACATCGTTAAATTGCATTCGATAGCAGTCAAAATGGATATTTTCGTTGAAATATGGTATCCCAAATTTTTTGCGATTACAATATTTTCTTTTTACTTCGTACAAGGAAGTAAAAACTGATGCAAAATAAAAAAGTAGACACTGCTTGTTTAAATAAATTCACAAAATCAGCATTTTAGTTATAATAATTTTTACAATTTAGCCTGTGGCTTTTTTTGAAAACAAGAAAATTCAGCGAATTTGAAGTGCCTAAGAAGTGCTCATCTTTCTTCAAGAGCAACTTGTCTCTCAGTGTACTGAAATCTTTCATTTAAAACCGATGCCAAACATTGGTCTAATAAAGTTTGAATTTGCCCATTTATTGTTTTAAGTTCGAATGAAACTCTCACACATACTGTTTCAGCTGCATCTTACTAAACTAAATCAACAGAAAACTGATTATTCAAACATTTTATTAGAAATATAGCTGCATAGAAAAGTTACATTGGTCTAATAAATTACTAATAACTTTTAGGAAAATACAAGCTCAAATTTTTCAATCTTTGGCACATAAATATCTGAATAGACTTAAGTATAAAAATAAAAACAAAGAATTATTTATCCAATTACATCAATTATCAGAACTTGTCCTGCAATTAATATTAATAAAAAAACATGAATAAAAAAAGATACTGAAATGTGCATACACTTTCAAATATCTTGCAGTTAATGAAATTTTAAAACTACACTTAATTTATTGCTTTTATACAAAAAGTATATTTTTATATATAAAGTTTTAAAAAATACTAGTTTTTTCCCCCTCTTCTCTTTATACAGAAAATGCAACCTACAAATGGTTGTATATTATTGCATAGCTATTTTTAATACTGAGTTACTGATATAACAGTTTAAAAAAGAACACCTGCCAAAAATATGTTAGATGCAATTTTTTTAATTTTTGTCTGGATTTGAGACAAGATAAATTACGCTACCTTCTAAAAGCAACAAGAAACAAGTAACTGTATACTTGCATTTATCAAAAATTGATTAAGTATATCAAAACCAGTTTTTTTATATAAAAAAAACTTTATAAAAAACAGCAAAGGAATTCCTTATAGATCCATTTTCACTTGCAATTTCTCTTTCACTTCTTCCACAATTGATCTACTAATAACAACATCTTTAATTGGCTTATCTTCTGGTGTTGTTTTAACGTTTTCAATAGTGTTTACGACATCCATACCTTGGAGAACTTTACCAAAGACAACATGATGACCATCTAACCATGGTGTTGCAACAGTTGTAATAAAAAACTGACATCCATTTGTATTTTTACCTGAAACAAAAATAATATTATACAGTTTTAATGTTGCTAAAGTGGTACAGATCCTTAAAAGCCAACATTTATGTTAAAGCACATTTTACTACATTATTCAAAGTAAACACTTTAATACCCAGCCATTTATTTATATTGTAACTTTATGTAGATATCTCTCATTACTCTCCAAATTCTCAACTTCTGACCTCAAAGCTAAAGTTCACAATCAGCTTCTGACCAATTACTTGTATTGCTTGCTCACCAGTCTTGTCACTACTCATAATCACAGCTAGAACTCAATTTTTTTTTTTTCCAGCATTTACTACGATAAAACTTTTAGAACTATTTGTATTGTCATTTTCCTCTTCAGAACTACATTATATGAAAAATTGTCTGCAAAAATATCATTATTACTATGCACTAACAGGTTCTTCTTGCAACTATAATAAATTATGAAATTAAAGAAATTAACATCCTCATACATAGATTGGTACAGAACTTAGCTCTGTCAACTCAGATTACCTTTTAGCCTAAATTTTAATGTTTTTTTTTTTTTTTCTTCCTATTAGATCCAATACAACAGTTTAAAAGTAAATTTACAAAAAATTAAGAAACATATATTTTAATAAATTTGATTATACCTTCGAAAAGCTAAAAATATACTGAAATAAAATTTTACATGCATCTTCTCAAACTTTTAATTTATTAATCTGTAACACAAAGTAAATATTTATATTATTTCTAGTACAGTTACAATCTTGGAAGAATATAGACCATGATTACATATAAGGCAAACAGAATCATCTTTTTTGATTATTATCATTATTTTTACTTAATTCTAAACTCGGATCTTTTGGAATATTTTCGAAAAATTTATCAAGGATACCAACGTAACTGTGAAAATCTATAACTGAAACACACAAAAACTACTGACAATATCATGCTTAGTTATTTATAAAAGTTGATAAGAGAAAAATTTGTAACCACTTCCTGATTATGCACACCAATAGTTTTAACAATCATTAAAACTCAAGTTTTTGCTGTACTTTTGAATATAGAAGCAACAATGCCCCCTCGCACATCTGCATACCACATAAGTGAGTTATTCTCCATCAAGTGATAAGAATTACTGCTAAATCCTCTTTGATGCAGTGCAGAGTGCCATGTCTAACAGGCATTCTTGTAAGTGACAGCCATTACATAGATCATTTGTAATCTTAGCTGTGTTGCACCATGCACGACTGTATGAACTTCTGACACAACTGAAGCATTACTTATCAGTGAATATAGTTAACTACCCTGGTAAAAAAAAAGATCTGTCATCATTTAAAAAAAAAATCATGTCTTTATGTGCACTTCTGTGAAAATAGCATTGTGTTACATTCAGTACTTTCCGAATTACTAAATTTTTGCCTCTTCTGTTATGTTTGGATTATACAATATTTATAAGTACCCATGATATCAAGAGTACTGAAATGATTAATTTCAAACTTCATCTCATAATCTGATGTATAAGTGATATCAATTAAGCAAGAAATTTATTCCAGGCAAAACGATTAACTGATGTATTTAATTTTTTCAATCAGCAGATGTTGGGAATTATATTATAGAAACAAGAATAAAGATTTCACTCCATTAGCTTCTGTTCTTACAAAATATATTACAACAAAGACCAATATGTTTTTTTAACTATTAATAAGCATTCATATTGTCACAAAATATTTATTTAATGCTATTTAAAAAATGGAATTTGTTTTTGTATTGGTGAAATTTTTAAAATTCAGATTTTTTTAATAAGAAAGATTGCTTAGAGTTTCTCATGTAACAAAAATATGGAGAACAATAAAATATGAACATGAATTTATCTGCTTAACTTTATTTATTGAATAACTACTCATACTATTTTTAATGCATCCACCTACCACCGTAATATAGTAGTACTTCTTACAGCAACCACAAATATCTCTACAGAAGAATTAAAATCTTGTCTTAACCCCTTCATGCAAAACATCAGCAGGTTATCCAGCTCATTATCAGGTTTAAAAGTTTTCTCTTCTAAAAACTTCTGAATAGGTAGAGGTTTAAAGGTATACTAAATCTGGGCATATACCGATTTTTAAGTCTAACAAATCTGATACGGAATGACATCTTGATTAGTAAAAAATCTTTGCAACATGGTTGTTAACCCCTTGCTGAGACATGTTTATTGGAACTAACAAGGTCATGGAAAGATAAACTAGCAATACTACTGGCAAGTTCACGCATATATGTATTTGCCTAATGAGTGTTTATTATGTTAAATTTGTTTAAAAGAACTGAACACAATACTGTTTATATAGAGCAACAACTGAAGTATCATCCATAAGTTAATTATAATTGGAGCTAAAAAGTTAATGTATTTATATGTCATTACATATAAATAATCCAGAAAAGCTAACCATTATGTTGCCATAACTGGTATAGTGGTTAGTACTGTTGGCTTCCATATTGTTAGGCCCAGGTTTGAATCCCAGAGAAAGCTTGGATGTTTGTATGTATATGCTGTTTGTGCATGGGGCATTTAAAGTGCTGATAAGCCACAAGTTCGCTCACGAGATTTGGTTATAGATAGAGGAAGAGAGATAGAAGATCTTCAGAAACTTACTTAAAAAAGTCTGATGTGTACACCGCATCACTTCCTTGTACAGAATATTAAATTATACGCATTTTTTCCTGCATTCCAGTTAAACTTATTTCCTCAAATTTCATTACAGATATATCTTTGATTCAATTAATTCACTTCTCACTTCGTGGCAAGGCAAAAATACATAAAACCTCAAAATATCTTTATTAAAAATTGAAAAATATAAAATGCCAAATACAGTTAAAACATTTAAGAAAACAATTTTTACAATTAAAATTAGAGTTTGTACTCAAAAACAAGCAATTTGGCCAGCAGGCAAGAAGGCAAATTTTCCGGTGCATAAAACTGCAAGTTCACTTTTAGTCCCATTTGGCAAAATGACACTAAAGGTGCAGAAATAGATTTAATTCACATTCTGCCAAGTTTCAAATATAAACAAATATGGCTGCTATGGTTAAAAAAAAAATAGGCTTAGCCGCACTTAAACAACTTTTAAGTTGTTGATAATTCTACAACTATTGCATGCAGATTAACTAAAGGCACAAAAACCTTAACCGGAACATAACAACACAATTCAATCATCTTTAAAGAAAAAAATGGACAATTTACCCAACATATAAGAATAAAAAACTGAGCCCACGGAGCCGTGTAACAGAGTTGGTATATATATATTTCTTAACTTTAGGTGCGGCCGATTGCCACCAAAAAGGGAAGTACACAACTACATTTATAACTGTCCTATGTACAAAATTTCAATGTTCTGAGGTTTCTCGTTTTTGAGTTATACAATACATATGCACCTACGTACGTACAGACACAATGAAAAAATCTCTTCGTTAAACTGCATTCAATGGTGGTTAAAACTTAACCGAAAGATAAGAACAACATAATTCAATCATTTTAAAGCAAAAAATGCACAATTTACTATCATATAAGAATAAAAAAACTGAACTTACCAAGGCAAGTAACTAAGTGTGTGTGCATATATGGTGCTGCCGATTGCAACTAAAAAGGGAGGTGCACAACTACATTTTATAGCAGTCCTATATACAAAATTTCAACATTCTGGTGCTACTCAGTTTCGAGTCATGCGAGATACATGCATATGTACGTATGTAGACGCCACAAAAAAAATCTCTTTTGGAGCCATTTTAAATCAGTTTTCTAATTTGCCTGGGAAAAAGAATCCTTTCTGTCCTTACTTACAGATGATGTCACATAAAACCATAGTTAAATTGCATTTGATAACGGTCAAAATGGATACTTTCGTTGAAATACGACACCCAAAAATTTACATAAGTGCAATACTTTCTTTACTTTGTACAAAGAAGTAAATATCAGTGAACTGGAGAGTCTCTACATCACACACTGGCTATCTACTAAATACTTCACATCATATTTCTCTTTAGTGGTTTTGCAGCAAAATACTATTTTCTTGCAGAAATTTTACCAGTTTCTTCCATTGCTGGCAAATTCCTCAAGCACATATTTTAAAATTGAGTTTAAAACAAAAAATATCAAGATCGGTTTATAAAAGTCCATTAGAACTTGGAAAGTAACAAAAAGAACGAATATACGAAAATGGTGGCATTGCTTGACTGAAGGAATGTTACAAGCAGGAGTAGCCCAAATAATGATTATATGCATAGTTACCAGAGTTTTGCATAGTCTGAAAATTTTGCGATTTTTTATAAGGTGGTTGTGACAATATGTAAGTACCAAAGACCAATGGGTTCTACTATTCCAAATGAATGCATCGAGTTGCAGCAGAGTCGTAGCTAGGGTTTTCAGCGCCCAGGAACAACTGAAGATTTTGCGCCCCCTACTGCTTGCCAAGGATAGAAAACATTTAATTCTAAAATGTTGTAACATCAGTTTGGCGCCCTTGGATTCTGCGCCCGGGGACAGATGCCCCCTTGCCCCCCTCTAGCTATGCCCCTGAGTTGCAGGTGTCCAGCCATTTAAAATAAATGAACAACATTGTGTTATTACTTACAATTATTTGAAGTAATCTTATATCAGAAAAGGTAAAGAGAAAAAATCGGGATGCATTAAGCTGATTAATGTTTACGTTTACGGAGTGTGAACTGTTGCTATGCTTTCATTATACTTGCTACACTGTCTATATTTGAGGTTGTAAAATAATGAAGATATCCATATTTGCTTCTGATATTTTTACCAGTAAAAACTGGTTCTGATTGGAGTCGTAAAAAAATATTAATTTTTTTTCCTCTGCTCTGGCATGTTTAATCAAAAAGTTTATACCAACTGCTAACACACAAAAATACTAATTAGTATTTGAAAACACTGAAAAATATCAAGATGTTTGATTTAATTAATCTTTGTTTTGAAGCTGAGGATGGCAATGATTTGTAAAGCAATTTAAAAGGAATCCTAAGTTTTAAGACCTATTTTAGAAAACGGGTAACAAGGTTATTTTTATACATTTAAAATTGTGAACATTCAGATTCCACTAACATATACAATAGGTGTTATAAGTCTTATCATTATGATTTAATTTTATGATATGCATTACAGTTTTGATGTTACTTATATGATATGATTCCGATTCAGAAGTCAAACAACAAAAATCAGCGTTAATTCACAAAATTTTCACAGGACTAGTTTCGATGGTTTTACCGAACCATCATCTTCAGCTGCAAAACCGCAAATGAACAAGATAGGAAATAATGTTTAGATAAGATAAGAAAGCCTGGACAAGAATAAGCAAGTGGCGCCATCTGTTGGCGAAACCAGAACTAAAACATAATTTCTCTAAAAGCCGAAGGCAAATTTGGATTGGAATTAGGATCGTTAACTAGAACAGAAAGATTTTTTATGAATGTGAAATGCCTCTAGAAAATCCAGTTCTCCAATGGAAGATGTTTTTTGAATAATTTTGGCAGCAGAAAAATTGAAAGTGTGATTTTCGGACCAACAATGTTGAGCAACAGAAGACTTCTGTGTTTCCTTTTTTCTAACATATGCCTCATGTTCCTTTGACGCGAAATTTTAAGGCTCTCTTAGTTTGGCCAATGTAAATTAAACCGCACTGGCAAGGAATCCTATAAATTACCCCAGGAATTCATATCCGGAATGGGGTCCTTGAGTATAGAAGTTGGAATTTTATTGATGGGAGAGTAAAACAACCCGAAAGTTAAATTTCTGCAAAATATGTGCAACTTTATAGCTAATTGATGGAAAGAAGGGAATGACAACAGAATTTTTATAATCTCCTAAAATAAGAGTGTGGCTTTTAGTGTGTTGAGATGAGAATTTTTTAACTGCTTGATTAATAATGTTGGGTGAAAAGCCCCTGTCAATAGCTATCGCTTTTAAATAATTTAGTTCTTCATCAAGGGCTAGTTTGGAGGAGCAAACTTGAAGAGCACGGAAAACATAGGAATAAAATGAAGCTAACTTTTGTTTAGTTGGATGACATGATTTAAAGTGTGGTGGAAGGCAAACCGATGAAGGTTTACGGTAAACTGTAGTACTGAAGTTGGATGTGTTACGTGTGACCAGAATGTCGAGAAACGGAAGAGAATTGCAAGTCTCAAGTTCAAAAGTGAACTGAATAGCAGGATCAATAGAATTCATTGTTGAAAGAACTCTATTTAAATCATCTTTATTACCTTCAAACAGGGTAAAAGTATCGTCTACGTAGCGGAACCATGCCGGGAAGTTTAAAGTTTCAAACAATTTTGATTCATAATAATGCATGTAGATATCAGCCAGGATGGGACTGAGGGGGCTTCCCATGGCTAATCCCTCAGTTTGCTTGTAATATTTATTTTGGAAAACAAAATGTGTTTGTTTCAAACAGAGTTGAGTGAGAGAAATTAGCTCATCAATTTCGATGCAAGAGAAATGAAATTCGCGAAGTCTGGTTTCTAGACATCTTAATGCACCCTACACTGGGACATTGGTGAATAATGATTTTACATCAAAAGAAAACCATGAGTAATTACGAGGAGAAATGTTTTTAACCTTTTTTTACAAACTTATTGAATTTTTTATGGTGTAAATGTTATTGTCTAATAGAGTGGAAAAATCTAGAAACTAAATATTTAGCTAATGGATACGAGGCAGTACCTAAATTTGATAAGCTTATCCCATCTGTTGCGAATTGTGCCAGATTATATGCTCTTCCGAAAATTCATAAAAGTGGTATTCCTTTCCGCCCTATTCTATCAAATTTAGGTACTGCCTCGTATCCATTAGCTAAATATTTAGTTTCTAGATTTTCCACTCTATTAGACAATAACATTTACACCATAAAAAATTCAATAGAGTTTGTAAAAAAGGTTAAAAACATTTCTCCTCGTAATTTACTCATGGTTTCTTTTGATGTAAAATCATTATTCACCAATGTCCCAGTGTGAGGGTGCATTAAGATGTCTAGAAACCAGACTTCGCGAATTTCATTTCTCTTGCATCGAAATTGATGAGCTAATTTCTCTCACTCAACTCTGTTTGAAACAAACACATTTTGTTTTCCAAAATAAATATTACAAGCAAACTGAGGGATTAGCCATGGGAAGCCCCCTCAGTCCCATCCTGGCTGATATCTACATGCATTATTATGAATCAAAATTGTTTGAAACTTTAAACTTCCCGGCATGGTTCCGCTACGTAGACGATACTTTTACCCTGTTTGAAGGTAATAAAGATGATTTAAATAGAGTTCTTTCAACAATGAATTCTATTGATCCTGCTATTCAGTTCACTTTTGAACTTGAGACTTGCAATTCTCTTCCGTTTCTCGACATTCTGGTCACACGTAACACATCCAACTTCAGTACTACAGTTTAGTTTACCGTAAACCTTCATCGGTTTGCCTTCTACCACCACTTTTCAAATCATGTCATCCAACTAAACAAAAGTTAGCTTCATTTTATTCCTATGTTTTCCGTGCTCTTCAAGTTTGCTCCTCCAAACTAGCCCTTGATGAAAGAACTAAATTATTTAAAAGCAGATAGCTATTGACAGGGGCTTTTTCACCCAACATTATTAATCAAGCAGTTAAAAAATTCTCATCTCAACACACTAAAAGGCCACACTCTTGTTTTAGGAGATTATAAAAATTCTGTTGTCATTCCCTTCTTTCCATCAATTAGCTATAAAGTTGCACATATTTTGCAGAAATTTAACTTTCGGGTTGTTTACTCTCCCATCAATAAAATTCCAACTTCTATACTCAAGGACCCCATTCCGGATATGAATTCCTGGGGTATTTATAGGATTCCTTGCCAGTGCGGTTTTTTAATTTACATTGGCCAAACTAAGAGAGCCTTAAAATTTCGCGTCAAAGAACATGAGGCATATGTTAGAAAAAAAGGAAACACAGAAGTCTTCTGTTGCTCAACATTGTGGTCCGAAAATCACACTTTCAATTTTTCTGCTGCCAAAATTATTCAAAAAACATCTTCCATTGGAGAACTGGATTTTCTAGAGAGCATTTCACATTCATAAAAATCTTTCTGTTCTAGTTAACGATCCTAATTCCAATCCAAATTTGCCTTCGGCTTTTAGAGAAATTATGTTTTAGTTCTGGTTTCGCCAACAGATGGTGCCACTTGCTTATTCTTGTCCAGGCTTTCTTATCTTATCTAAACATTATTTCCTATCTTGTTCATTTGCGGTTTTGCAGCTGAAGATGATGGTTCGGTAAAACCATCGAAACTAGTCCTGTGAAAATTTTGTGAATTAACGCTGATTTTTGTTGTTTGACTTCTGAATCAGTATTTATTCGGCGTGTTATTGTGTCTTAATTATGATATGATTCATTAGAGAACTGGGGCTAATTAGCATTCTATAAACTATTAATTATTTACAGACAAATTTGTAGACATAAAAATAAAACTGGCACACAGAATATTAAGACACACATATATTCAAAATGTTTTATAAGTAAAAATAATGTAACTATCTAAAATATTTAAGCTCATGTTTGCATAAAATTTAATGTTTTATTACACCCATTTCTTTCTTTGAATTTTTAAACTTACCATTTTTTTTAATTTGATTCTCAAACATTTTTTATATTAAAAAGACAGAAAATCAGTTTTAAAAAAGTCTGAATTTTAGCTTACCAGCATTAGCCATACTAAGGATTCCTGGCCCTGTATGCTTTAACTCAAAATTTTCATCAGGGAAATATTTTTCTCCAGTTATGGAAATTGAACCAGATCCATCCATCGATACAACATCACCTCCTACAAAAGGAAAGTAAATTAGATATAATAAATTATTTTATAAGCCAGTAAAAATTAATCATAACATGTAAAATTGAGATTTAAGAATTAAGTTTTATTTATTTTTCAGATGACAATTTTGAATAATTCTGTAATTCACAATGGTGGTGGAACCACATCCTAAAATAAAATTTTTTCATCCTTATTGAGATATATTCTCCAATATGAGAAGCTGCACTAAGGTTCACAGACTTGTTTTTAAAATATTTAGCATACATCATAGCGCTCTTTACCTTTGAAAAGATCTGGTTTTTGATTTATTTTTGATAGTTTAATATTTTATTTTTTGGTTTCCTTTACAATCTAAACATTAATCCTAATATTGCTCCAACTCAACTGCCTACTTATTCAGCTTTGTTTTGCTCCCAACATAGATATTAATTGCCCCCAAAATTCCTAGAATTTTACATAAAATCTTAAATAATGAGTACTACTCTTATATGCACCCTCAGGTTGCCAATGCAGCAATATGTGTTGTGCGCTGGTTTCTGGCATGATTGAGTGTTCTGCGATGGTTTTGGCGGCGATATTGGTTTCTACAGCAACTCTTCTTATGTGGAAACTTGGATTCCAATTGCAGGTGTCCAGCCATTTAAAATAAATGAACAACATTGTGTTATTACTTACAATTATTTGAAGTAATCTTATATCAGAAAAGGTAAAGAGAAAAAATCGGATGCATTAAGCTGATTAATGTTTATGTTTACGGAGTGTGAACTGTTGCTATGCTTTCATTATACTTGCTACACTGTCTATATTTGAGGTTGTAAAATAATGAAGATATCCATATTTGCTTCTGATATTTTTACCAGTAAAAACTGGTTCTGATTGGAGTCGTAAAAAAATATTAATTTTTTTTCCTCTGCTCTGGCATGTTTAATCAAAAAGTTTATACCAACTGCTAACACACAAAAATACTAATTAGTATTTGAAAACACTGAAAAATATCAAGATGTTTGATTTAATTAATCTTTGTTTTGAAGCTGAGGATGGCAATGATTTGTAAAGCAATTTAAAAAGAATTCTAAGTTTTAAGACCTATTTTAGAAAACAGGTTGCTAGTTGGTTCGTGTGGTGTGTGTGGTATTTAAGTGATTTATGTATGCTGGACTTTGTATACTCTGCGTCTCAGAATATGGGAGGGAAAGATAAAGTGGTGGAAGTTGATAAAATTCGGCAAAGGGAAATATCATGGCCATCCTGTTGAGGGGCAGTGGGTATTTGGAGGTATGGAAAGAGGGTCTGGGATGTTATTTATGGTGGCTGTGCATGATAGAAGTCAGGAAACTCTGCTGCAGTGTATTAAAGAGTGGATTGAGCCTGGTACAACTATTTTTTCTGATGGCTGGAAATCCTACAAGGATTTAGGAAAGAAGGTTTTGAACATTTATTTGTGAAAGATAATATCAATCTTGTGGATAGTGAGTCTGGCTGTCATATAAATATGATAGTGATTACGTGGCAGCATGTTAAAGGTGGCATGAAACTGGCATTTCTGCTGTTCAAAGAAGCATTCATTTATGGTAAGTGTATTTTATTTTATTCTTGGTCTTTTTTTGTAGAATGTTATGTTCATTGTTTTTTTAATATGAATTTCTGTCGTTATTGTTGTTTTTTCTAATTGTTTGAAATTTATTTTAGTTAATTTTGTTGATTAGTGCGCAATGCCTAGATTGTGCAATTCGCAGATTTTTTTTTAAGTTGAAACAGAACGCTGTGTACACGGTATTCTTGAAACTTATTGTTACGTTAATTTATTAAAGTGAAGTGTGCGTAGTTCATAAATTCCTTCGCTGCCTAGATTGTGTAATTTATAGACTTTTTTTCAAGTTAAAACATATCGCTGAGTACATGGATTCTTTTGAAATATTTTTGGTTAGAAACTTTAAGTTTTGCCATCTAAATTTTTTGTTTTTGTTTCGGACTTTCAAGCTTAAATTGTGTGTTCAAAACATGATTTTTGCATTTTAGGCTTAAAGTTCGAAATGTAGACAAAAAATTTAGGTAGTCGCCAACTGAAGGCGTATGTATATGAAAGTAGTTCTAAATAATGTAACCATTTATTTTTATACTTTATATTGACATTTCCTTATATTTTGTACAACATATTCAGTACTATTTGTAAACTTTCCTGAACTTCTTTTGTAAATCAAAATCTTCTTTTCAGTTATATTTTTATTTTAAAGAAGATGAAATTACAGAAGCTAATTTAAGGTAAGCAAGGACAATGCAAGGCAATTATGTTACAAGATGGCAAAAACTGCTGCATAGCAAAAACATTCATTACCCAAGTTTGTGAGCAATCAAGTCTTTTCATGTTCAGACATTTGATGAAATTGTTAAATACATGTCATAAAATAATCTGGCAGCTTCTTAAAATTTGTGAATATTCTGACTATGATTTCTCAGGATGATTTCATGCTCTTTTACAACATTTTCTTCACTGTGCTGATTAAGAGATGCATAGAATTATCATCAACGTAGCAAATTTTATCACACGACTAATTTCCAAGATTATTTTCGTGAATGCTGCAGAATTTTCCCAAGATTTTGTAGTTTTCACATTTTTCCTCAAATTTCAAATATATCTATAAATTTCAAACTCTTTCCGATTATTTTAACATTTTATTATGATTTTTATGTTGGATTATTTTTATTTAAAAATAATTTCTTATGGTATATATATTTTTTTTATTAAACAGATTGAACAAGCACACAATCATAAGTATAATTTTTGATTAAGCAGAATTTCTGCAAAATGCACTGCAAAATAATTCTATACCAAAATCAAATCTGTACTCTGTATTACCCTAAGGTTTGCCGAGTTCCTAAAATATGAGAAAAAGCCATTCTCACTGTTACATAAAATTGCCTGTGAATGCTGAATAATTCCAATATCCAATTTATTTTTTTAATTCTATTTAATAAAGAAAGTCTGCATGTATAATAAAAAAGCAACATCCCATACTTAAAATAATACTGTTTACCGACTGGTACCTGCTGATACGCCACCAATTAAACCACAAATTAAACCACCAATGATTCTGTTTCACTGTGTGTATTGTGGCAACCCTAGGAGCTATTCTGGAATTTTTTTCCCTTTTTTTTTGGGGGGGGGAAGAGGGCTGATGGAGAGTAGAAATGGCTTCTCTTTTATTTCAGTGTCAACTATTCTTATTTTCAACATCCAACCAATTGGAACAAGCGCATATATGCAGTGCACTTTTTTTTTAATTCTTTTCCCATGGAAAATTTGTTCATCTCACGCTTAGATATTTTGAAATAATGTTAATTTCTATTGCATTCTGCATCATCCATTTCCTAGATATGCCAAAAAAATGGAGCAGTAAAGATCCATTACTTCAAGCATACTATGGTAATTTGCAAAAACATCACAAGTGTTCCAACTTTTATGCAATGAAATTATATATAATAAAAGATTGGTAGAAATACAATGTTAACAATAACTAACAAAGCATTAAAAAATAAGAACTGAAAATTGGTTTGAGATAAGTCACTTTTTGTTTTATTAAATATAATTCGTATACAGGCACAGACAAATTACAGATAGCAAAAGTATTTGATGCCATTTTGAATGCATTTGTTAAGCAATATATGCCAGATATCAAAACATGAATTACGATATTTTGATATTAAAAATACATTTCATTGCTGAAAGACATCAACAGCTTACTGACTGTATATGGACAAGCAGCAATTAATAGCCCAGTGCTAAACAATAATCACAAACTTCAGTTCATTCAGTAATAATGAAGTACCAACAGCTATTTGATGAGAAAATAACCGAGGACAAAATTAACAGTGTTACCAGTTTCTCAAAAATGTACTTGTACAAAAGAAAAGAATTAAATTTAACTTACTACATGATACATTCCTAAATGTGTGTAATCGAGGGATGTTATTAAAAATAAACTTTAAAAAATGGAAAATGAGTTTTAAAAAGTGCAGTTTTTCCCCAATAAGTACTATTTAAAAAAATTTTCTGCCAAATTCTTTGGGGGGGGGGAATTGCTGGATTTAGCATTAAAACTGGTAACATTGAGCAGAGTTGTACTTAAAACTCTTTCTTCAAGTGAACGTAGGTGACAAAAAAAAAGGGTTCCTGACAGAAGCCTGTTCCCGAGTATTAAAATGAAATGTTTATAACCTTATGTTACTGTTTAATTTTAATAGCCATCCTTCCAAATCCTTGATCACAAAATTTTTTTACAAGAACATTAGGGAAAGTTTTCTGAATTTTTACTACAGTCAAAAGTCGTTAATTCGGACACCCATAATTCGGAATGATCTATAATCCGGACCTCAAAACTAAAAACTTTCTGCGCATGCGCCGCGTTGACACATGCGCATAGGCGTTTACGCCTGCGCGTAAGACCTTTCACGACTGCGCATATGAGTGTGCGCAAGTGCAGAATACGTTTTCGCGTGCGCATTTTATGTATAATGGACGTATTTAGCTTATACGTCCATTATACATAAAACGCGCACGCGAATTAAAATTATCTAATTATCTATTTCAGTTAATGTTGATGATTGCGTTGTTCCTTAATTTTCAAATTGGATCCGGCTTATTATTTTTTGCAGACTGTAAGAGCAATTTTATAAAAGTAAGCTTAAACTTTCGATTATATCAAATAGAATTTCCGATATATATTTGTTAATACGTAAAGGATCTAAAGCGAAAGTACATTTTGAAATCTGTTTATCAATTTCACGCTGCTCGGCGGGGGAACGCGCGGCGGGCGCGTAATGAATTGGAAGTTGATCTGTCAGCACTATCCTTATCTTCAGCACAGATGTTTTTATTTTATTTGGCTTATAATTCCTTACCAAATGTAGTATTTCATCTCGATATGCTCTGTCTTTGATATGATTTAAAACAAGTTCCTCGTCATTATAATTCGCTTCCGATAGCGAAGAAAGTGACAGAGGTTATTGAAAACGAAAAAATTTTGATTGACAAATTAGTCGGTGTTCTCGACACAGCAATTATAGGACTTGAATAGCAGAACTTTGTAACTGAACAAGAAATTATGTCTGTTTAATAGAATTAAAGAGAAAGTATTATCACATGAAACGATGCAAAACTTAAACAACTTACATTGAAAGAAATGTTTAATAAAGTAAACAAATAAATATTGAGCTTTTTCTTTTTGCAGATTTTGATACCCTTTAGATCATAATTGTTCTTTATTTCAGAAATTATGGTTTCATATTTTTAATTTTAGAATTTCTGCATGCCATCTTACGAGATTTAAACTGATGATCTATAATCCGGAAAAATCGATAATCCGGAATTGCCGAAGTCCCGACGAGTCCGGATTAACGACTTTTGACTGTACTTGCACTACAACACGGCTGCAAATTTTACATTTTTTTCCAACTTTAAACATTACTAAATAAATTATCAGCTTCAACAGACATTTAACCATTTTTGATTAAATGGCCATTTTCTAAAAAAAATTGTTTAAACAGGCACTATAATTTATAATCTGGCATTTTAATTGAAAGCTGAATCATTTCACCAAGTTCATAACAACATTTAAGGCACAAACACTATTTTTTCCTATCACCTAATTTTAAAATAATATACATAAATAAAATTAGATAACATAAGTAGTAAACTTTTAACACTTCCACAAACTTTTGGATATCACTTTATACTTTTATAAAAAGTTTTTTTTTTTTTATTTTTATTATTTATTTTTATCTTACACTTTTCATACTAATTATGAAAAATTCAAAACTTGCCCTATTCTCATTCCTTGCCCCAAAGTCTGTTTTCTTTCTTTTCATTAAAGAAGTTACTTTTTATTAAAAAAAAAAAAAAAAAAATTTAGCTGATCTTTAGAATATGGTAACTGGTAGTTTAGCGACATTTTGGAGGCGATAAAGGTTACTACCTGGGACTTTGGTAATAATGTGAGCAGTACTCAGTTCCGATTACGCATTATTTTGTGTGAGGGAAATGAGAGATCATGGGATATGACATGTGATATTAACGAACGAATTACGGTTCTTTAATCGGAAAAGGGGGGAAATCGGGAAAAAATCTGGAAATTTTGTATTTGGCTTTATTCTGTGTTGTGTGAAACAGTGTTCGTTAATTTTTGGATCCCATGGCCCTAACTAAAGTGAATTCGAAATGGGTATTTAGTGAGACATTTTTAGAATAATAATGCCTGCAATATTAAATAAACACTAATGATATCAACTTAATAGTAATAAGTGTTTCTTTAAGGTTGTGCGAGATAGAAGTAAAGATGTTTTATTAAGTTATTTATTTTACCTGGTACCTTGCTGTGAATTATAAGTATGATTTTAAAGATCCTGAAACAGAAATAAGAAAAGTTTATCGGACACGTAATCAAGATTCTGAAGAAGATTAGGTAAGTTAGTATTTTTAATTATTTGAGGATATTTTTATGCATTGTTCTAAATGTAAGGTGGAAGTAAAGTAATTTGATATTACTGGGAAAATTGTTATTAGCAATGATTTAGTTTAGTAATTAGGATTGTAAGCTAATTTTTATTAATTTAATGTATGTGCTTATTTATATTTTAACTAGTGTTTTTGAATTTAATTATATTTTAATTAAATGATAGTTATTTTGTGAATTTTATGTTTGTAGGAATTTGGTATACGTTTTAGTTGAAGTAAACGTGCATGGAAATAATTTAAATATTTGACACTAAGTATTTGTAATGTTTGTGGTATGAATTCGTTGGTGACGTTTATAATATAATAGATAATTTAGAGGTAAAAGTTTTTGGATATTTTATTTATTTTATGAGTGGAAATGTTCATATTTGGAAAGGGTATATACTTTTTCGTTATTAGGTAATTTCATATATGTTCTTTTTAACGGGTTTAAAGATTCAGAAAATTGTCATGCATTTTCGTGAAATTTTTCTAATTTATGAGAAAAAAGGAGTGTACATGGATATGGTGAAGAGTGTGCGCAATATCATTTTTGTGCAATTCCGGGATTTTTTTTAAGTTAAAATAAGTCGACGTGTACATGGTTTAGTGATATTTTAATTAAATGATAGTTATTTTGTGAATTTTATGTTTGTAGGCATTTGGTATACGTTTTAGTTGAAGTAAACGTGCATGGAAATAATTTAAATATTTGACACTAAGTATTTGTAATGTTTGCGGTATGAATTCGTTGGTGACGTTTATAATATAATAGATGATTTAGAGGTAAAAGTTTTTGGATATTTTATTTATTTTATATGTGGAAATGTTCATATTTGGAAAGGGGTATATACTTTTTTGCGATCAGGTAATTTTATATATGTTCTTTTTACCGGGTTTAAAGATTCAGAAAATTGTCATGTATTTTCGTGAAATTTTTCTAATTTATGAGAAAAAAAGCAGTGTACATGGATATAGTGAAGAGTGTGAGCAATGCCATTTTTGTGTAATTCTGGGATGTTTTTTAAGTAAAAATAAGTCGACGTGTACATGGTTTATGTGTATGTGTTATTGTGAAAAACGCGTAAGGAGTATGGTATTGTGCACTTTTTCCCAATTTTGCAGTGAATATTTGTCATGATTAAGCAGTTTTGTTAGATAAAATTTCCAGCATAAGTGTAATTCGGCTAGTAGATTGTTGGAAGAAGTGTTCAGTAGATAAAAAGAAAAGAAACATGTCTTTACTTCATGAAGACAAAATGGCGGCGGGAAAAAAAAATTAGAGGGTTGCTCTAGGAGAGTTGGTCGCCAAATTTTCGCCAAAAAATCGCCATGTTATCATAATGTAAAGATCAACCATTAATTTTAGCTGGTGTTCTTTCTATTGCTGCTTATGAAGATCAAATTAAATATTTTATTAAAAAAGTACAATGAATTTTTCTTTGATTTTTCAATCAGATTATATTTAAATGTATAAAAATTTTTAAAAACTCCGAAGTTTAAGCAAATTAATTTTGTTGTTTAAATATATTATGCAACATAACCAAAATCTATACCTTGAATCATAAAGTCTTTAATAACTCTGTGAAATTTTGAACCTTCATACTTCTTTCCTTGGTATCCATTACCAGCAAAAGCAATGAAATTATTTACAGTCTTGGGTACAACTTTCCCAAAAAGTCCAATTACAATAGTACCAAGTTTGTTTCCATCAGAAGTGATATCAAAATATACTTTATGGGTAACATCAACTTGTTTACCCTAGAAAGAGAAAAGCAACTCATAAAACTATCAAAAATTATAATGCAATACATTTTGCTATTAGAAAATAGATTTATGCATATGTAAAGTATAAAAAAGTCATCAAATCAATATTCTTTACATTAAAATTTTATTTTCGTTTTCTTATTTCTGTACAAAAATATTAATTTTTTCACTACACGATAGTAGAACTCTCACATCCATGATTAATTAATTCATTCTAGGACATAACTGTGGGTAGCAATGAATGCTATAAAATAGACTTGCCCTATCCATGCAACATACATAAAATTTGGTACATAAAGTTTGGAGTACAGTTCATAAATTTGGTACAGTAAGATGTTATAAATTAGTACTAATAAAACATGCTGTACATGCACTATTATCATTTTATATACTGCATAATTTATAAAAATTACAAAATTTGTTCTCTTAAAGTCACTTAATGGATAAGACATTATGGCTTCTCTCAAGTTTTAGAAGCACTAACAGCATCACAACTCTTATGCTTGAACCCTACAAACGCAAAAATAAAAAATTTCCGAGTACTAAACTGTGACAAAATATTGCTAATGAGAACACATATGTGGAAGGAGAGTCTGATATTTTGACCACTGATAGCCGGGATCCTCTGCTGATATTCTTATAGCTAAAGATGAATTTTGCAAATTGCTATTCTTAGGACTGACCTGTAATCTGAAAGCATAGATGAAGTTCTGAAGATGACCTTCTGACAATGCCCATTAATTAAATTGACATCAATTTCTGTACATAAAAATTATCTGTATTGCAAATGAATAATACTTTTCTGAAGTCTCAATTTAAATCATTGCTAAGCAAAGTCTACTTGAAGGAATCTCTATGTATTTGACAACCACCTTATTTGCCAAATTACAGTACTTATTGATTCTGAAATCTATATAAATAAACTACTGTAGTATCTATTCTAAAAACATTACATAGAAGTATTACAGAAGTATACTTATAGAATTTTTATTTATTTATAGAATATCAAGTATTTCTCTATTCTGAAAACATTATACAGTATTTATATTCACAAGTCTTATGACAAGCGTTACATTACAACATAAGGAAAAAATTGTAAAAAAAAAAAAAAAAAAAAAAAAATCATTTAGGGATTTAAATGTACAGCAATTGTTTGAAAATAAAATTACTCTAATAAATAAAATCACTTTGCAAATAGGACACATAATATTCAGATTATGAAAATTAATCCATTTATATTTTGTTATTGATTTAGATATAAAATACACATAAAATCAACATAATATAAATGTTATAAAAAATTAGAAATAGCCAAAATTCAGTTTAGAATGGTCTATGCTGGAGTTCTGCCTAATTTAAAAGTTCAAGTTGATGAGTTTTTGTATATCAATCAGTAATAAATTAATACATAGTTCATATTACTTTCTCAGTATTTGTTAGTAATTAATTGTTATACAACACTGGGAGCAGGACAGCTTCTGTCCTAAGGTACATTGCCAATCGGAATTAGTGCCGCCCCATCCACTGACAGGAGGCAGTTTTTCTAATATTACTCTAACTGCATGTCTAAATAATATTGACAACTTTATAATGATAGGTACTCATTCTCCCCCCCCTTTTCTGATCATTAATTTTCATTGAATTCTTGAAAATTTTTTATTTCCCACATTAATTCTACCTTCCATATTAGTTCAAAACTAAAAAAATTAGACTTACCAAAAATTGGGCATTGTTTGGTATTTTATTGTTAAGACGATTTTTTAAGCTAATTTTTAAAGCATGCAGGTATCTGTTACGTATTTGTGGAGGCCATTTCTTCCAGTCTGATGATCTCTGCAGATAAACAATTTTTATTTTCATTCAGAACTGGAAATAAGTTGAAAAAATTTAATACAAACCATCAAGAATTTCCGCCATTTTTAAATTACAAAACTAACTTTTAAAATTCCCCCCCTTTTTTTTTTAAGATTCTACATACGCATACTTATAAATTAAGACAGATAAAACTTGGCTAAATCAATGAAACATGTATATAAATGATAAATATACTTCTTAAGAAATATAAAAATCAAAATATATACCATATATAATCAGTAAATTAAAACTAGCTAAATATCCTGAAATTATTTTGCAGTGAATAATACACTTTTTTTTTTCATACACATAAAAAAATATTTTGTTCAGTAAAAGAAGAAAACTGTTCCTTTTTTAACTGCTCCTCTTTTAACTGCATTCTTGAAATCTATATCTAAATAAAGCAGTTAAAAAAAAAAAAAAAAAAAAAAAAGACTTAAAATTTGCAAAATACTCGTGAAGCTAACAATAAGCTTTGTTTAATAAGCTCAGTTAATTAGTTAATGTTAAAACTTCAATATATATTTTAATAGCATTCAATCAGGATTTCTAACTAAATAATTTTATATGCAATGAATATACCATGATAATAATAATAAATAATCAAATACAAATTTGCACCGACCGAGTAGTCAAGATTACTAAAACTGGACAAGTTATTTTCCCACCCCGACTAAATATATTTTAGAGATTTACGAGCAAAGGATTACTGAGTAATTTAAGGCAACATAAAATCAAGAGCAATAAAAAATGAAATATTAAATTTTAAGTTGTACATTTATATGCATTTAAATTGACAAATCAAGCGGGTGTTATATCTGAAAATCTTCCTATTACTATGCCAAATGACTTACAATATCTTAAAAATTGCAAGTATTACCAGTGGAAGTTAAATGATAAAAATGCTTTATAGACATAAATATTAAAAATAAGACCTTTAAACATTATTTACAGAGGGCGCCACTATTTGGGCGGTGGTCTAGACTTTGCCAAAATATTTTTTACACGAAGAAAAGCATATTCACATTTTTAGAATCATGTAACTCAAAACTATAACACATACGTTAGACAACTGCAATGTAAAGATAAATAAAAACACTGAAACAAAAAAAAAAAAAAGTCAAAAGCAAGAAACTATTACCTTTGCATAGGAAAAGGCGACAACTATTATAAGTATAGTTAAACATGGCAGATAATTCATTTTGAATGAATAGGAAATTAAGTAGCTTTGCCTACTAAAGCCGGGTGAACTATAATTTAGAAATTTCAGATCAGAGAAAATGGTTCATCCACTCAGAAAGAACTTGATATGGGTCAGTGACACGACGCTTAACGTTGCCAGATCATTTAAGATGGTTACTAGTGCTGCACCCTTCTGGATAAGAGGGGAAAAGTAAAAATGGGTTTGTAATGAATTTGGCAACTTAATAAGGGCTTTTTTATAAGTACACAGCGTTTTGATAAAATGAACGATGTATTCCTTTCGTTTTATTGCTTATTTACAGAGGTATTCCATGAAATATTTCTCTTTATTATTTTGAAACATTCCATCACTTTTTTCTTTAAAGTACGTCTTTCAAAAAGGTCTTTTAAAAACCATTTTCAATCATACAAAACACATATACGTAGCGTATTCGGAAACTAAGTACCGTTTCCTTCTAGCGCCCTCGCAGCGCTGTGGTAGGCGTTCTGCGCATGCGCACTAGTCTTTCTTGTTCACTGACTTTCAACTCTCGCCATTTTGGTTTCTGTATGTTGTGTTTTCAGTTTGCTGTGCACATTCAAAATGTTTAAGTTCAATTAGTTCAATTGTCAATTAGTTCTCCCGTTGACTGTGAGATTCGTTCCGCGATTAAATTTTTGAACGCGAGGAATGTTAAACTGGCCGAAATTTATGGTCAAGTGACAGAAGTTTACGGTGAATACGCGATAAGTGATGGAATGATGAGAAAGTGGGTAAGAATGTTTAATGTGTAGTGGCCCAGTTAGTGCATGAGAAATAATTATTTTTTATTTCATATATTTGTTCATATATTTAATTATTTTATAAAATTAACTGTTAATATTTGTTAATATTCATATTTAATATTCTTTTATGCTGAATGGCAATAAGTAGTTCATATTTATATTTAAATTCTTTATGCTGAATGGCAACTAGTTCTAGCTCTGATTCATGATTGCGAGGGTTTGGGTTTCAAAACGTTGCTCGTTAGCGTCGCATTTCGATAGCTGGAAAATAAAATGCAATAACTTAGCTATTTGTTTATAATTCATGCTGTTACTAGTCATAAATTAATTTTAAACATTAGTAGCCAAGGCTACAAATGCAGGTCGAACAAATGTCCACGCCGAAGCTCGGAGTGGTCGGCCTTCTGTTGTCACCGATGATTTGATAAGGAAAGTTGATGAAGCAATTCATGAGAACAGACGCTTCACAATGACAACTCTTTCAGAGGCATTTCCACAAATTTCACGTACTGTTTTGTTCGAAATTGTGTCTGACCGCTTGAATTATCGCAAACTGTGTTCCCGTTGAGTTCCAAAAATGCTCACTGATGTTCACAAAACAAAGCGACTTGATAGTGCCCTGACATTTCTCACGTGGTACAGTGATGAGGGAGAAAACTTTTTAAACCAAATTGTGACAGGTGATGAAATTTGGGTGTGTCATTTCACACCAGAATCGAAACAACAATCGATGGAGTGGAGACATACTCATTCTCCGAAAAAAAAAAAGTTCAAAGTGACAATGTCATCACAAAAAAAAAACACAAAAAAATCATGTGCACTGTCTTCTGGGATAGGAAAGGCGTTTTGCTTACTGAATTTCTTCCCAGAGGTGAAACCATTAATGCGGCACGATATTGTGAGACTTTAACAAAACTAAGGCGTGCCATTCAAAACAAACGAAGAGGAATGCTCAGTAAAGGAATTGTGTTGCTCCATGACAATGCTCAATTCGACAATTTCATTGGGAGCAGTTCGATCACTCGCCGTAAAGGGACTTGGCGCCTTCCGACTATCACTTGTTCCTGCACATGAAGCGCGAGCTTGGTGGCAAGCGCTTTGGATCTGACGATGACACGAAAAATGCTGTGGAGTCGTGGTTATCGAAACTGGCGGGAAGTTTCTTTGATGATGGTATACAAAAACTGGTCACCCGCTATGACAAGTGTTTGATCATTGGCGGAAACTATGTTGAAAAATAGTTTAAGACATGTATTTTCATGTAAAAATAAAATTGGACTCGAAAAAATTGTTTTACTAATTTTTTTTTTTTTTTTTTTTTTTTTTTTTTTTTTACAAAACAGTACTTAGTTTCCGAATACGCCTCGTACAAAGCCAGAAAACGTGATTGTCAATTGTTTCTTCTTTTGCTTCAATCTCGCCTTTTTCGTTAATGGTAAGCAAAAATCCGGAATTTTAGGTATTAAGGGATTCGTATGATTTTTAAGCGAACGGGCAGTGCCGGCGCCTGTTTCAGAGTATTTGCGAGTATTTTTTTCGAATTGTCAGGTATGATGAGCCACCAGCGGCCGAGCGGTAAAGACGCTGAAAACTGGTAGTTCGGTCTTTTGTTCGAATCCCGCGTACGGGCTGGCTGCATGGGCGTTTTCGTGGTTTTCGCCATGTGTAACGTGTATACGAGCCAGTTTCCCTTAGAAAGTCCTCCACGAAAGGCATCCCTTCCCTAAGGCAGATAGCCCTAGTGTCCTTTTGCCATAATTAAATACACACCACACCCGTAATATAATTTAATTTAACAAAAATTAAAGTCAAGCTACCTGTCAGTGAATAAGTATGAAAAGCAGACAATAAAATGTGCCTAGGATATATTACTAAGACGCCTGGGCATTTATTTAGATTCTATAATTTCAATGCAAACCTTATTAATTAATGTAGATTTTTTAAGAAAGTTCTTGGCTTATTCCTAAGTTGCAAAATATTTAATTGTTCGTGTATTTTATTATTATGAATATACCCACTGTATATTGTCGAAAAACAATGTTTTGTGCAGTCTGTAGTTCCTTTAGATTAATGCGGCTTGAGTACGCCCAGGTAGGGCAAGCATAACTGAACAGGAACGCAAGATGGCTTTGTTTACAGATAATTTAAATTAGCTTGTTGTTTTCAAAAATAAAGCTTAGGGGTGGGGGAGAATTAAACTTCATGCTCTCGAAGCTTCTGAATAATAAATGAAACGTGTGGGGTCCAATGAAAGCATTAGCGAGGATCACCCCGAGACAAGGAACTTTCTCAGCCCAGGAAAGAGACCATGACATATATATGACCATAAAGCTGTACGTTTCAGTTTATCTGTTTTGTCTTCGTGAATAGGAATTTCACTGATTTTAAATATTTATTTATATTTCCGCTTGAGTAGCCAGACCCAAGTGCATATATGTGATTTGTCAATATTGTATGACTTACCCCAGAAATGCACTTTATATAATGATCGCTGTATCACCGGCGTAGTGTTTCGTGTCTGCGGAATGTCGTTCACATAAATGTTAAATAACGTGGGCCTGAGGACAGACTCTCGTGGAACATCGGCTCGAATGGTGTAAAATATGTACTATTAGAAATGCAAACGATACGATAAAATGTTTAACCGGTTACGTATGATTTAATAAGGCTTGTGACGTAACCTGGAAAATGTTGTGTAGCTTATATATGGTCAAAATAATGTTTATGATCTTAGTTAGCTTGCAAATAGACTTATAGACTTCTGTGGAAATTTATAATCATCTTCAGTCTATCGATTCCGGGGCTTTTCTTGATTCGAATATTTTTAATATCATCAAATATCTCCGACGCTGAAATATCTCTGTAATAGAACTTAGGGTATCGTCAGGTGAAAGTGGGAAGTAATGAATCAACTGTTCTTTTGCATCCAGGCAGACGCAATCAGAAGTTCTGATTATATCTAGAAAGAGTCCCCTAGTAATTTCTTGTTTTTGCATTCCACTTGAGACAGCTCTGTACAGTTGGTCCACAACTCTGCATAGGTCATGTAGAAAACTGGTGTCAGAAACCAAATTAATTACGGATGAGAATATTATTTTGGTCCATGAAGGAATGAATTCTATTCAGTATCACAGCTTTGACGATCTTGATTAGGAAAGGTAATAGGTAGGATTCTGGGGAGATTTTTTATTTTTTTGGTTTTAATATTGGCTTAACCATTGCAGTCTTCTAGAAACCTGCAAGATGTTGACGGTCAAAATAATGTTTATGATCTTAGTTAGCTTGCAAATAGACTTACAGACTTCTGTGGAAGTTTATAATCATCTTCAGTCTATCGATTCCAGGGCTTTTCTTGATTCGAATATTTTTAATATCATCAAATATCCCCGACGGTGAAATATCTCTGTAATAGAACGTAGGGTATTGTCAGGTGAAAGTGGGAAGTAATGAATCAACTGTTCTTTTGTATACCTAAATAAAGAGATGGTTAGGTATATTTGAAAGTAAAATTCCCCAAATTTTCTTCTAGAGAATATTTTTATTGAGATTAATAATGTAACAACTGAAGATTTTTAAATAGAGAGTATTTCTAATTTTTGTAATCCATGGCTAGTATGAAAAGTATTAATTTGTTGTTTAATTTATTTAAACATCTTAAAATTAACTAAACAATATTCTACAAAGCAGCATTTTAAATTTTTTATTAAGAATTTAATTTTTCTGTATTTTTAGAGCTTGGGTATTGATGAAATCATGCAAAGTAAGAACAAAAATGCTCACCAGAAGAAAACAAATTTGTTTCGGAGTTAGATCTCGTAACAGAAAAGGAATAAAATAGAGTCACTGTTTTGAATTAAGAAACGTATAAGTGTAATATACAGTTTCAGCGTATTAAAAAATATATAAAACCTCTTTAGAAGAGAATCAAAAGATGAACATCCAGATATGAAGTGTTAAATATATTCATTTGGGATTATAATGACAAATTAACCATGTGGTCTGTTAGCTGTACATAAGAGCCGCAATGGATGTGCTGAGACTTCATTTATCAACTTAAAGATTTCCCATATTAACAGGCAGCCACGTTTCTCTCTTTTAAGTTTCAGATTACTTTTGTTTAAGCATCCAAAGGAACAACTGAATGTGAGCAGATAACATTTTAATGGAATGATAGGATAGGAAGAAAATCAATCATTTCAATGTTCCATCATAGCATTCTCCTCCTCGTTCCTGTGTTTTCTATGAATTTAACTCCCATGTGATTTCTCTTTTAAATTAGTTTGTGATATTAATAGGTTAAATCTGTAAGATCCGAATCGAAAAGGATAAATCTTTTCATTAGAGCAAAATTTATATTTT